CAACTATCACCACTATCTCCAGAACATTTTCATCATCCCAAATAGAAATTCTGTACCCTTTAAAAACAAAACTTTCATTATTGGAACTCCAGCCTTTGGTAACCACCCTTAACTTTCTATCTCTATGAACTTGCTTGTTCGACGTTCCTCATATAAGGGGAATCATGTGATATTTGTCCTTTTGTGTCTGACTTAATAATATCTTCAAGGTTTATCCATGTTGTAACAAATGTCCCCAGTGCATTCCTTTTTAAGGGTGAATAATATTATATATTATATACCAACATTTTGTTTATCCATTCACAGATTCACTTTTGAAAACTCCTTTGTCAGTGGTGTGGAGGGCAGACGGTAAGAGGAAGCTGAGTGAGAGACGTGAGCTCGGAGATTTCCTCTAATGGCTCAGATGAGAGAGAAGTAGGACATGAATCAGGTAAGGGACAGCAGGATTGGATGATAGGATTGATTGGGAGAAAATGGGGAATTCTCATTGGTCTGGGCTGACTAATGAGGACTGATGAGCACTGAAGTTTTGGTTTTAGCTGAGATGTGTTAATAGGTGACTTTTTAAATTTCTCTTCATTTTCTTTGAAGAAAAGTTGTTAATTATGGTGTTACTTACTAATGTTTAATGTGTACTTTTTCTGTCTTAAAAAAAGTGTTTTTCAAAATAAAGGGAGAGTGGGTAGGCAAAGTAGACCAATACTATAAATATCTAATAAAAATTTCTGAATAAATTATGTTGAGGATATATTTTATAGCTATGTAATGAAAGCACAGTAATTGCTTAAGAAAGTGTTACTTGGAATCATCCAAAAGTAAAATCAATATTCTGCACCATAATTATCCTGGTGCATGGTACAATGACTAAGAAAAAAATGCTGTCACATAAATCTTGACAGAAAATCATGCTTTAGAATATAAACCATGCTATTTTAAGCTCTAGTAATTCTGTCTTTTGTAAATGTCCTATCTTTTTGCTCATGGGAAATGTTTCAGTGATACAGTTCTCCCTGCTCTCACCCAGAACAAAGCACCTACCTCAGTGTTATGTGCCCAACAGGCATCCAATAAATATTAATTGTTTGTGATAATAACACCACTTATGAAAGTGACAGAAAGTAGTATTTATTATCCTACTTTACAAATGAGAAAATTGACACACAGAGATGAAATGACTCACTCGAGGTCACATAGTAAGTCAGCGGCAGGCCTGGAAATAAAATGCAAGTAATACAGAAGGACAGGCTATTATCCTCTCTGCTTGAGAAATTTCTCCTTCCTTTGTCATTCTGCCTGATCAGCCTTGAAAGTTAGTGAGAGCAAGATCAGAGTTTTGTGTTTGTAAGCCTATGTAATACTGCTGGGGTTTGAAAACTGACCTCTCGATTTTATTACTATGTTGGTTTTCAAATGGCTGGCTTTTAAAAAATGTAGGCACTATCACCCAGGTTAATGTCTTTTTTAAACTTTATAATCATAAACTATAAAAAAATCTTCCTCTTTTTCTTTCCAAGTCCCTGTACACCCTCCTTCCTTTCACTCCATATCATAGTTAGTTTTAATAGGATCTGTCAAGCTTAGTTCTCCTACCCAAATATTTTTTGAATATCATGTGCAGAAAATTCTGTACAGTAGAAATAAGGCAGACACTTCAGGGTACAGAGACATTCATGACCACAGCTCTCCCTCCACAAGCCAAGAAAGATCAGAGATTTGGTGTCTTATCCTGGCCCTGCCAGTGACTGACTAGGTCACCAGCCACTTCTTACTCCTGCACCTCCATTTCCTGTTCTGTAAAACAAGACTGGCTCATATGATCTCTAAGGTCTCTCCAGCACTAATATTTTTAACTGAAATGTATTCATAACAAATAGGTCATTAAACAAAAATTACTTTCTCTGCATGGTGTTATATCATTGGAAGCAAATCAAATATGCTAAGTGGACAGAGCTCCTATGACCATCAAGGAGCTTACATACTGAGAAATTCAGCACAGAAACAAATAAGTACAAGAGAAGTCAAAACAAACCTAGCCAATAATAAAAGCAAAACAGATAAAAATTTATTCACAGTATACATAGAGATGAGTGGGCAGGATGGGAGTATCAGAAGCTGTGTAATGAGAAATGCAGACTCCCTATATTGCCATCAGCCAAGGAAGGTTGAAAGGAGTGTATAAATTTGATAGTGGAAAAATGACTGAATGGTCTACACTATGCACATGATCATGAAATTGATATTTGTGGTGGGAATCTATACACTAAAAAGAACAGAAAGCCTAATGTGAAACTTAAGGATTAAAGAACAGATTCTAGTGACTTGATTCCTATTTTCTTCCATATCAAGGAAACTCATTTAGTTATCCCAGGCCTCTCTTTTCCCCTTTAGGTACTCTGCTCCTCAGGGCAGTGCCTCATTATTTGGTAAACCCAAGAAGCATAACTTGGCATGTCCCGTTAGCTCTCCTTTCTTCCTCTTGAGAGTGAGCTGGTCTCAAGGGCACACTTTTGCAATTGGATATGAAATTTGCCAAATTCTGGGTCCAGTCCTTCAGGCCCTTTCCATCTTAAAATTATGTTTCATGTTCCAAGTTAGCTTTTCTCGGTAATAAAGGAAATGGGTTGCTTCCATAATCATCCTTGGATTACTTTTCAACTTGATCAAAACCGGACTAAAAAGGTGTCAAAAGGTGGCTCAGAGAATCCAACAGGTTTGCTGTCTCAAAGCCTCACTAAGAAACAGGAAAAAGAAACACAGACCAGGGCTTTCCAACCACTAGGAGCTCGTCATCCTTGGGCTGCCATGACTGTGAATTCCTTCCCTCATGTTACCTTCAATGTCTGTTGATCTGTGAAATAAATGTGGCAGGATTTAGTGGGTGGAAGACACAAAAATGTCTGGTAGTTCCACAGACAGGCCCACAACTAGCTATTTCCTTTAGGGGCTGGCGATACTGACATGTATAGTGTTACCTTGTACCTGGTACTGGAGATGTAGAATAAATACTACAGTTTTGTCACAAGTTCAAAAATTATTAGGTATGAGATACCAAAAGAAAAGCATCTAGCACTTAGTATAAGCAATTAAAGAGTAACATTTATTATTTACTACTTTTATTTGACTGAGTGCCTGTCTTTGCCCTTAAAATGTTTGTCTTAAAAAAAAAAAGATGAAATAAGTGCCTAGGCAATTATGTGTGCACACAAATTAAGTACTAAAACAAAGTATAAATGATTACTAGGAATTAAGTACAAAAGAGTGTCAGGAGATATACAGATATCTTGGCAATATGGGGAAATTTTCAAAGGTTTCTAAATGTAGGAGAAAATCTATAATTTTGTGAGAGATCAGAATACTCTTGTTCAGTTTCATATTTTGTAGACTTGAATATTTTATTCTCTGGGTTAAGTAACTAATTTTCTTTAATAATGAAATAGTTGTTTTCTTCTTTCCATTCTAAAACTTTGGTTACTGAGTCAAGAATTAATGGTGGAGGATAGAAGGGTTCTGTTTGTTAAACTGCATTCTCTCACTTTGCTGTAAAAATTAGAGAGAGAATGACAGAAAAGAAATTTGCTTTGAGAAAAAGAAATGTGAAGAAGAAAAAGAAGGAAGAAGGAAAAGACACTAGTCAAGAAAAGAAGTCAGAGGAAAAAGAGATGAAATAAGGGAGGCTGCAAAAGACAGAAAGCTAACATGTTGAAAAGTCATGAAAAGGACAGGGCAAATACAGGTGGGGAAAAGGCAGAGAGCAAGGGAGCAGATGGAAGAAAACTGGAAAAAAGGGGAAGAGACATTGACCTGGAGGACCAGCCCGCAGATCCCTGTCATTTTATTAGGCTGTCTGTTAATAAAATGCTTTCGTAACTGAACTTTTAACTTGGAAACTTCGCTTTATTGATGCCACAATGCTGATGTGCTGAGTACTTTGAAAAGTAAACAAACTGGTATTGCTTGAGTTTAACTTCAATCAACCTTTAAAACAACCTGCTCTCAACACCCTGCTGTATGCATCCCACATACACATTCCCACACACGGCCATGTAATTCTCCAGAACATATCTTTAGAACTGGTAGATCCTTTATTAGTTTTTAATCTTGTGGACAGAGATGTTTATAACTCATTGAGGCAGCATTTTATTCGGTTCAAAGGTGATCTGTGTCACTGCCTATGAGAGTTGATGGAACTCCCACCTCTAGTTCCCACCCTGGCCAGACATGCCACGTGGGTAGGAAAATAGTTTTCCCACAACAATCAGTGTGCTTCAGTGGATCTAGTCACAGACACTGACAGTTTTTTTCCAACCAAGTTATTTCCCCGTGTATTTTCACTACCCACTTTCTTGAAAGCATCAATCACAAATCAAAGTGAATAGTAAAATTAAGAACAAAATCTTATAAACCAAACTAAACCTACATCTAGAAATACAGACTCTTCAAGGAATTGGAAGGAGACAGGGGTGACTGAGAAGGGCTGTTCCTTCTATGGCAGAGATGAAGGCAAAGAGGGAAGGATCTGAGGTCCTCACAGGCTCATGGGGAAGAAAAGGTGAGTTTAACAGCTCTTGTCAACAAACCAAATGAACAACAACATAAAAAACTTCAAGACCAGTTGGTCTTGGTTACTAACTGTGCAGTGAACTTTTCCCCATCCAGAACTAGAAGACATACTCATACTGTGTGGGTGATGGGCATGAACCCCCACACTGTTTCATACATGGGTCCACTCCAAAGACTGGTTTACTTACTCAGGGAAACACTTTTCAAATATATGTATTTATCATGTTTCTCCTTTATGTGAAATGGGGCTGTTTGATTTTTAAAAGTGCCTTATTGAGGTCAAAGGGAAGTCCTAAATGTCCCTTTGCCTTCAGCACAACTAGGAACTATCATGGATGGTCCATGGTTACGTCCTGGTTTGGCTGTTTTCTCAGGTAAAGTTCTCAGCTCCCTAATTTCTGACTTTTTCCTGAACCAATGGCTGCAATATTGGCTGTATTATTTTTTCAGGAGGAGATCTTGATGTGTGCCTTGCTGCATATTCCATACCTAGTATTTCAGTGACAGAGGGGACAGTTTGTATAGCAGAGAGAAGAGTTTTGTTCTCGGAAGATGTGGATGTAGAATTTGGGTGTGAATCTGACATCCAGCATTGATTAACTGTGTAACTTAGTTATTTAGCTTCTCCAAGCCTCAGTTTCCTTTGTAAAATGAATATCATAATACCTATTTTGAGAGTGATTATGAGAACTGAACGAAGATAACATATGGAAAGCCCATAACAATGAATAAAGACTTAAAACAGTAGTATTAATATTTGCTGGTTTTATTATGGAGAAGGCAATTCTTGATCTAAATGCTAAAGGGAGGGTTTTTTGTGATGTTGTGTTGTATTGTTTTGTTTTTAATCAAATCATGACACTGGACTTCTAATACTCTGACCAGGAAATCAATTCCAATGTGTATAAATTACTATTTTGACAAAAATCAATAAAATAATCTGAGTACTCTGCTCATAAATTCAATTACTTGAGTAAGGCTCTTCATCTTTTCTGGCTTCAGCATTCCCATTAGAAAAATGGATAATGAGATCTTTCCCTACTTACTCAAAATTAAATTCTGGATAAAGGTAATTTGTTACACAACTAATTTGTAACAGAGAAAACTTTTTTTTTAGTAATTGAAATGGTTGCTTTCTTATTCACCAGTGAAGTGCAGGTGAATACGCTGCATTCTTAAATGAAAGAGCAGAGGGGGAAGCAAAGAAAACTGATTTGAGCTATGATTTCCTATTTTGGAGCTGCATGATTTAGATAGTATCAACTAAGCTAGTTATTAGTGAAACAAATGTATCTTATTCTAAAGACTTCAGTCTCCTCAGCTCATAAGCAGTAAAAGACTTCTTTCTGAGATCTGAAGGGCTCACCCAGCAGCGTCAATGTTCCTGTCCTTACCTTCTGATTCTCAACATGTTATTCCATGAACTTCAGAGACATCATCTTATTTAATTATCTATTTATGATGTGAAGTCAGTCAAACCAATTGTCTTTATAGAAAGACATTATTTCTCCAGTATCCAACTGGAGTTAAAATTAATTCCAACTTAGTTCTTAAGACAGTCTCTAAAAGTCGTTTTGCAGGAACGTTTTCTTTTTGCCAGGTATTTCTGCCCCTGCAGTGTTCACAGGTGAATGTGAGCTAGCGATAGAGTGCTTTTAGCCTCGCAGTCATACACTGCCACCCACTCTAAAGTCAATTGCATGGATCAGCAGCCAAGGCAAAGCATTATACTGGACTATAACCAGCCCATGACTTCAATTTATTGTGTGCTCCCAGATACTCACTTAAAGTGAGCCAGTCTCACATTCTTCATCTGGAAATGTGGGCTGTGACTGAGTGTGATCGTATATATATATATATATACATATGCCTTGATGATAATTGGTTAATAGTAACTTGGCTAAAATTTTCCAAGTCATTTATTTAAACATCCTAAATACAATATATAATATTAATTATTAAAACTCTTTCATAAAATTACACATATGCTAGGGAATTAAATGCTAACTATATGTACACACATATCTAGATTTATATTCTAGGTATCTATCTGTATCTCTTTATTTATCCCTGTGTGTGTGTGTGTGTCTCAAGCAGAATGTATAGGTTTTTTGCATGGGTCTCAAGTTTATCACAAAAGTAGAAATTTATTCTAATTTAGGCATTTTCATCAGAAACACTGATACATTCTAGAGATTTAACTGTGAAAATAATTTAAAGCTTTGTAAGTATTTTCAGTTTGGGTTACCAGAAAATCAAATGACCTCTCAGTTCAATTCAGATATAAGCCACTGAATTACTGGGTCAATTTGGCAGCAGATCATCTGGCCTCGGGTGCCTTCCTTGATCTGTCTTTAAAACAACACTTCTCTGAGCTATAGCTTGCCTTAAGGGTTAATGCATTCACACTCTCAAAATACCTTCAGGTCTCCACATAATGGTACTATGTACGTATTACAGTTTCTAAAAGGCATTTAATATTTTTTTTGTTCAAGGACATAAGAGCACTTCTTTGGAGGCAGCAGTTAAGTAGACTTCTTAGCAGTAGTAACATGTTCGTACATTAACACATAATTGGGATAAAATGATCACACACACAATTAATGATAACACGTTCAAAACCACAGCATGACATAATATTTGGTTTTCCCAACACTTCAGAAATGGTCTATGAATGAAACACATTTGTCCATTTCTTTGAAAAGTCAAAAGGGGTTATCTATCAATCTAATAATTATAAAACACATGATAACTTAAAAGAAATAAATTCTTACCTATAAGCAATGTTGAACACAGGGCCACTTGAAGCATTTTATAGGCCATGATCCTATTTTGAAAAGAAAAGATTGATTTATTTACATTTAGACTGGGAAAAACTTTAGGGCATATTAGGTATATTCCAGGGGTAAGAAGCACTTGCTCTATACCTAGAAGCCCTATAAGCTGAGGCAAGTCAGAGAGAGGCTGCTGTTGAGATTTTTTTTTTAGATATAACTTCTGCCTGTTTACCCTTTGGACTTTTCGGAGTGACTTTTTACAAGCTGCTCTTATATGGCCTATGTACTTATTTACTAATTTTACTACCCACCCAGACTAAGGTAATACTAAAAAAAAAAAAAAAAAGGGTAGAAAAACTGAATCATTCATACATTGATGGTAGAATAAAAATGGTACAGTCAGTCTGGAAAACAGATTGGCAGTTTTTTATAAATCTAACCATGCAATTATAGAACAACCCAGCAATTACACTACTGTGCATTTATTTATCTCAGAGAAATGAAGACTTCTTTTGTCCATGCAAGAATGTATCTAAGAGTGTTCTATAGCAACTTTATTAGTAATAGGCAAAAACTGGAAATAAGCCAGATGTCCTTCAATAGCTGAATGTTATCAATTTGAAGTATATCTATGCCATGGATAACCATTCAGCAATAATAGTACAGTAACAGTTATTGACAGACACACAACTAGGAGGAAATTCAAGGTACTTATGAGTGAAAAAGCCTAGTCCCAAGTGGCTACATATCTGTATGATTCCATTTATATAACCTTCTTGAAATGACAAAATTATAGAAATGAAGAATAGATAGTAATTGCTAAGGATTAAGGAGGGATGAGGGGAGGGGAGTGTGGTTATAAAAGAGCAATAAGAGGGACTCTTGTGGTGGCAGGAGTGCTTTGTATCTTGACTCTGGTGTTGGTATATATGTGAGCATAAATATGTGATAAAATTGCATAGAACTAAATACAGATATCTCATACACTTACAGGTAAGAACACATAAAGCTGGGGAAATGTGAATCATATCAATAGATTACATCAATGTCAGTATCCCAATTTTGATGCTGTTCTATAGTTTTACAAGATGATACTATCGGAGGTAGCTGGGTGAAAGGTACTTAGTATCTCTTTGTATTATTTCTTATAAGTGTGTGTGATTCTACATTTCTCAAAACAAAAAGCTTAAGACAAAGGAATGTTAACTCCGTTATAAAATTTGTTTTGTTTCCAACAAATGTATATAACAAAACCAGAACCCTGTTTTTTCCATTTTGAAATTTTTAAACAATTACCCTTTTCAGTGGCATGATTTACAGTTAACTAAATTCATCATCATACAATTTATTCTTTATTTTAATTGACATGTCATTTAAATACAATCTTATACTGGTTTTAAGTATGCAACACAGTGGTTCAACAGTTACCTATATTACTAAATCCTCCCCCCACTAGTACAGTTACTGTCTGTCAACATAGAAAGATGTTATAGAATCATTGGCTATATTCTCTATGCTGTACTACCATCCTGTGACCAACTTATATTATGATTGAGAATTTTTGTGCCCCTTCATCCCTCTCAGCCTCCCCACCCATCCAAACCCCTCCCCAATGAAAACCATCAGTTACTTCTCAGTGTCTATGAGTCTGCTGCTATTTTATACAATTTATTCTCAATAGAAAACTATGCATCTGTTAGCCAATCTAATCAAGATTATATAATCTGTAACGAGTATGTATAGAGATACAAAAGTGGTAGAAAATAACTTGTATTTCTTTGAATTGTAGAGGGTACTTAGAAACTTGAATATACCTAGTTGGGTGTTATCAATCACTGGTAGAAGGCTCGGGAAGGCAGATGCCTGTAAACAGGCATGGCAAAACCTAGGCAGCCTATACCATGTGTCCATCTATAGGAAATTTTGTTGGTGCAATAGCCATTGCCACATTTCTACAATTCTTCCTTGTTTTTTAGTTGGTGGAGAGATATAAATATGTAGTTATGTGATGGACTAGAAAAATCTCAAGAAAATAAAAGGGAAAATACTGTTTTGTTGCTTGAAGTTCACAGAACCAAAGGAGAAATTCATCTGCTCCTCTTCTCCAACATTCTTCAACTTCTGGACCAAAAGTGAAGCTTGTCTGGAGCAGGGATGAGAGCAGGGTTGTTTCTTATCCCTTTTACCTTACTTTTCTCATAAAACGGGTTATTAGTATATTATTTTGAATGGGATGTATAATGCAAGTATAAAATAATAATAGTTCTTCCATGAAGTTTATATATATTGTCCCACTTAATCCTCATGACAACTCAATGATGAGGGTAGTATCATTTTACAGATGAGTACACCGGAGCTCAGAGAGGTTTTATAACTTTTCCAAGGAGCAGTCAGAAACTGCAGGGTGAAATTTGCAGTAGAAGTAGAGTGACTGCTTGTGCTTAGGGGTACAAACCAATGTGATGAAACAACTTAGTTCAACATGACACCAATTTGTTCAGGCAAATGTGACCTGGAAAACTCAGTTTCAGGGGGGGAGTTAAAGTATGATACAAGATTCTTCATGGGCAAGAAAATGTTGTCCGTAAGTCAAATTTGGCTGTTCTTTCTTACATCTGCATACCTTTAATATTTAAGCCATGTCTCCCTGTATTATGGTTATGTATGTACATTTCAGCGTTCCTGAGTAGGTGACAAGCTTTCTGAAGGCTGTTACCATATCTTATACCTGTTTGTATGTCTTCAATGCCTAGCACATGCTTATCATATAATAGCCCTCAATAAACATGATTGAACTTAATTGAATCAACTGTTTCAAATTAAACTGAACTACATTAAATCGAATAGTATTTTCCAGTGCTGGTCTATCACTGTACACCCTTGTCTTACTGACTGCAAAAAAAATAAGCGTAATGTAGTAGTTTTTTTTTACATTGAAATTTGGTTGTTAAATAGTGTCCCCCAAAAGTTGTCTCTTTTTATGATCTATCAAAGAGAAAAAGTTGGAGCCATGACAATTGGCAATTTTTAAGAAGAAAGTTAGAGAAATGCTCTTTGAAATGAAATTGGAGTATTTATCTTTGAAAAAAAGAAAGCTCATTTGGCATGAATTAATGAAGCTCATCAGTGAAGTCTTTTTACGACTTTGATGCTTCGTTAGAAATGATGACTTTGGTATGACGGACCTTGGTAAGTTCACATGGTCTCTTTTACATCAGTGAAATATAAATGTTCAAAGAAAAACATGTGGAATTGGATCCAAAATTATTCTAAAAAATTTTAAAGAAGAAACAACTTTCTTCTACCAAGAAGCAAGTTGAACTTCGTTTCTGCTCTGAGTCATGACTCCAGTGCAGACCCAATACATTGCAAAACTTTGAAGAATGCAGTGCTCATGTACGAAGGTCGGATAAGTGATGGAGGGCATGGTGCAGCCTGGCATGATGATATCATCAGCATCAGTAAAAGGTGGAGGGTCAGACTATGTGTAGGAGGAGGACAGAATATTAATCCTTATAGACATTGTACTGAACTTTCAACTGCATCCAACCTATGAAAATAAGCTGGTGATAGCACTTATGTTTATGAAATTATTTGAGATTCTTAAAGAATTGCTGTGTTGAGAACAAAATATTAGCAAAGCACCTGGTAAAGGAGTCAATTTTAAACTAATTTGACTGCAGACAGGTTTGCTGTAATTTAAATGCTAAGGTAGAGTATAGCATGGCATCATTATCAGGTCAAACCTCTAGGGGGTACCATTTTCCTCCTGGAACTGAGGTAATATTTCATTATACCCAGAGCTATTATTAAGCAAAGAATGACACAGCAACTGCATCCTCGTCTGAGTAAGGATTTCTGTAAATTCTTGTGTTACATGAAGAAAGTATTGTTTAGTAAGGAGCAAGATATCAGGTTCAGACTCTGTTGGTATAATGCAGAATGTACTTTTAAATTACTACATAGAATATTGTTTTGCCTTTGAAGCTGGAGTTTTTGTTTTTATTTTATTTTTTTCAATTTATGAGTTAAATAAACCTTGCTAAGGGCAAACAGGAGGTATACTCTCTCTCTAACTTTTCCCTTCAACTAAGTGCACTATTTTCTCTTTTACCATTACGACTACTGAGCCTCAGTGCTGCTGACATGGACCTGGGGGCACACACTCACCATCTATTAACAGTAGGAGCTGGAGTAATTGGAGAAATTAGCTAGAATGTTGGAGAAATGATTCTGATTATATATTCTTTTTTAGTGTGACTGCTGGAGATTAAGAAACCTGCTGCAGCTTGAGATGCCTTGGGTTTCATGTGGCTTGGAAATGTAGTCTAATAACTTGCACAATAGCCTTCTCTTTTACTAGATGTAGGCAGTTCAGGGTCTCTGAAAAACTTAATGGATCCTACCTCATTAGGAGAGAAGAGTGGCTGGGAGCTCACTGTCATCTTGAGGTCTAGGCTACCCACTTGTCCAGGGTTCCCTTCTGCCCCCTGTTTCCCATTTATTTATTAATTTTGTACATCTACCACAGAGAATTATATAAAGACAGAAAATGAGGAATTCACAGACTTATCCTTCAGTTTTTATTCATTCAGTCAATGGTTCTTTACTGGGCACTTCCTATGTTCTAGGCACTTTTCAAAATCCATTCATTTTAAACACTCAATATACATTCAATATATGTCATTTCAACTGGTAGAGTTACTGAAGAAATATTTAACATTGTTTCTTATGTGGAGAAGTGAATTTGAGGGAAAGTTTCCCAGTGAGGTGAGTTGCTTTCCTTGAAGACAAATCTAGCTGGGGGAGGAAGAAAATTCTAGGAAAGGAAAGAGCATGGATAATGACCAAAGGGTTTGAATGGACAGGATATATTAGTCAGCCATCACGTGAGCCTATCACAATAACTCTTGTGAATATTGTACTGGCCTGCTTTGAAAATTCTTTATGGTAGTGATGTTTAATAATTTCAGTGATTTCTACTGGTTGTCACTATAAACAAATTGGAGTAATTTAACACAAATGCATATGGTCTAGCAGTTTAAGTAAAAATGCCAATCTGTTTTATGATGTGGTGTTAGAATCACACAACTTCTTGATTAAGCTTTGAGATAATGTGTGCCAAAGCATTTCCCTCATTAAATGCTGAATAATTGATAGTAAACAA